CTCTGTTGGTGAGGAGTGGAAGAGTTATAAGGCATTTTTCAAGTGTCTTGAGCTACTCTAAATATTCATTAATTTGCATAAAATTTGGACCCAAATGCAGGGTTCTAATCTTGAGAATCTTAAAAAAAAAATAAAAATCTGACCTCTAGTGGACGCCCGTAACAACAGTGCCCTCTAGTGGACGCCCGTAACAACAGTGCCCTCTAGTGGACGCCCGTAACAACAGTGCCCTCTAGTGGACGTCTGTGTATTAGTGCATCTGTAGATTTCACTAAAAGAGTGTCTCAAAAATACATTATGAATTTGTGTAATTGGTGATCCACAAATGCAAATTACATTTTACAAGCAGAATTTTTCAGTTTTACTTTTTCTTTTTTTTTTTTTTTTTTTTTTTCAAATGAAACAGAAATATTTACAAATAAATATCTATTTTTAAAGATCAGAATACAAATTACAAATATTAAGTTTGGATTAGTGGATCAAAACGCACGTACAAACCAATGACTGTTTGTAAATCACCCTCTGTGCGTTTGTGAAGATTAACGAGACAAAAATAACTCCATAAAAGTGATCTAGTCTTCACTGACGTCAGAGTAAATGCACGTCCAAGGCTTTAAAGTCCCAGAATTGTTCTTTAAAATCCTTCGTTAAATCCATGAATCGTTCTCCGTCCGTCTGTTTAGTGTTGTTGTTGTTGTTTTTTTTTGTCTTTGTCACGTAAAAGTGAAAACGTTAAGTGCTCACGTCCAAAGAAGAAGCCGGGTTTGAGGTTGGCGGCCATTTTGGGGCTGTACAGAAGCAGATTTGGGGTTTTGAGGTCAGCGGCCATCTTGGGACTGTACAGAAGCGAATTCCGGGTTTTTAGGTCGGCGGACATTTTGGGGCTGTACAGAAGCGGTTTCCGGGTTTTACGGCACAAAAACTGACCTCATCTCATACGGCCGTTTCGCAAAATTGTCGCTAGGCAGCACAGAAGTCAAAGCTCAAAGCCGTATCCATGGAAACCACAACGCTAATCCAACGGGTCCTGGATTTACCGTCATTATTTGAGTTGAAAAACACTGTGGAACTTTTCTGATCAAGACACTGCGCTGCCTGGAAATTTCCAAAGTATAGCATTAAACTTATCTATCTCCAAGGTGACAAGCAGGTTGGCTACCAAGTTACACGTCGGATCTGCGGAGAGGCGAGCCCACTCACAGTAACAATACGTGTTTTTCGAGGAACTTTTGAGCGATAAAAATGCGTGGAACTGAATAAATGCGACGCAAGTTTAAAGCCATACGGTGGAACATTCCAGACAGAGCCGTAACATCTCCATGGAGACGAAGCACTGACAGAAAGTTACACAGTGCCACTTTAATGTCCGAGTTAAGAGTCCAACAGAATGGCGCCGTACGTATTTTTTGTTAAAAGTTTCAGGAGAAAAAAAAAAGCCAAACTGAAAATAAAAAAGACGCCGTTTCAAAATGTGTTGGTTTTTTTTGTCAAAATGTGAGTTTAAGATGCAAATCCAGGTTCTGTACGTCACAAAACTCTGATCTACGCGATAAATGTCCCGTAATCTCAGCCTCTGTCTTTCTTTCGTAGATATTTTGAAGAGGGTTTTTTTGTCGGAAACATCGTCAAACTGTCAAAAAAAAAATCAGCAAAGACGTGTAAGGACTCCCCCTGCTGGTGCACGGAGGAGTTGAAGCTTCGAAGAGTGAAGCTGGAGAAATCTTTACCACATTTTTCTGAGTTTTTTAACGTACGTCGTCCTTCGTTTCGATTGTAATTCCACAAAAGTCCGAAGAACATTTTTTGGATTTTTGGACGAAGTTGAACTGAAGCAGAAGATGCAAAAATCCCAAACTCACTGGAAGTTCTGACCAAATTTCATCGCCTCGCGTTTTAAGTCGCCTTACGCTTAAAGCTGCACTACGTCACTTTTCCGATGCACTAGAATGTTCCACAATACGGCATTAAACGTCTATCGCTCCGTCCATCTCCACGGACGATGTTTTTGAAATAAAATTTTTACAGAAACGACTTTTGACACCTTTTTTACCGCGGACCACTTCTGGACGAGTGAGAGATTACACCGCCGCAGAGAAAAGCGGGTTGCGGGTCAGATCTGTGGAGAGGCGAGCCCACGAGCCCATGTTTCTCAAGGTTTTATTTTGCTATGAGAAACAAGTTGGATCTACAGTATTTGAGGTCGTACTGTGGAACATTCCAAGCGAAGCCGTGATGACAAAAAAGCGGCTGACCTCACACCAGAAAAGTTACGTAATACAGCTTTAAATGAATGGAATTTTCAGTCGGAAATGGTCAAACTCGCAACATCCAGCTTCTCACTTACTCAGGTCCCAAGTCCAGTCACCTCCCACGACTCTAGTGGTTTATTTCAGAGCTCGAATTTTATAAAACTTTTTCATGTGGAACTTTCTGTGTCAAAAAGTGTGTGTGAAAAAGTGTGTGTAGGTGTGTGTGTGTAAATGTCTGTTGTATTCTACGGAAGCCGAGAGGGGTCACAACAAACGCAAACGCCGCAACAAATACAAATGCGACGACACAACAAAAAGTCACAACAAACCAAAAAAAGCCACAACGGAAATGACGACAGGACTCTATTTTCTGACGGACCGATCAAGCGACAAGTGAAGAAGAAGAAGAACGACAACGTGAAAAGTAAAGGAACGGAGAAGTTGGAAACGTAAGTAAAAGTAATTTATTGTTTTATCATTATTCTTTTCACGTTGTAGTTCTTCTTCTTCTTCGCTTGTCGCTTGATCGGTCCATCGGAAAATAGAGTCCAGAGGTCACTTTCGTTGTGGTGTTTGCGTATGTGTTGTGGCTTTTTAATGTGTTGTGGCTTTTTAATGTGTTGTGGCTTTTTGATGTGTTGTGGCTTTTTAATGTGTTGTGGCTTTTTTGATGTGTTGTGGCTTTTTAATGTGTTGTGGCTTTTTTAATGTGTTGTGGCTTTTTAATGTGTTGTGGCTTTTTAATGTGTTGTGGCTTTTTGATGTGTTGTGGCTTTTTAATGTGTTGTGGCTTTTTGATGTGTTGTGGCTTTTTAATGTGTTGTGGCTTTTTGATGTGTTGTGGCTTTTTAATGTGTTGTGGCTTTTTTAATGTGTTTGTTTTTATGTGTTGTGGCTTTTAATGTGTTGTGGCTTTTTAATGTGTTGTGGCTTTTTGTGTTGTGGCTTTTTATGTGTTGTGGCTTTTTGATGTGTTGTGGCTTTTTAATGTGTTGTGGCTTTTTGATGTGTTTTTTGTGGTTGTGGCTTTTTGATGTGTTGTGGCTTTTTAATGTGTTGTGGCTTTTTAATGTGTTGTGGCTTTTTAATGTGTTGTGGCTTTTTGATGTGTTGTGGCTTTTTAATGTGTTGTGGCTTTTTGATTTTTGATGTGTTGTGGCTTTTTAATGTGTTGTGCTTTTTAATGTGTTGTGGCTTTTTAATGTGTTGTGGCTTTTTGATGTGTTGTGGCTTTTAATGTGTTGTGGCTTTTTAATGTGTTGTGGCTTTTTGATGTGTTGTGGCTTTATAATGTGTTGCAGCATTTGCGTTTGTGTTGTGGCGTTTGTATTTCTTGCGGCGTTTGCATTAAGAGTCCCGCGGTCATTTCCGTTATGTCTTTTTTTGGTTTGTTGTGGCTTTTTGTTGTGTTGTCACATTTGTATTTGTTGCGGCGTTTGCGTTTGTTGTGACCCTCTCGGCTTCCGTAGTTATACTCCAGCAGCTTCATCACCAAATGTTCAACCAACAAACTCCAAAGGATAAACATTCCTCATGAACAATTTATCCACAACGATCAAAAGAAGAAAGACCAAAACTTAAAGACGAACAACGGGAATGTGTTTTGTTTTGTTTTGTTTTTCCTAAAATTAGACCCTATGTTCCCACGTTTCCTTTATCGTCAATTTGCATCAGATTTGATCCCCATTTTTCCCAAATTTGTCATCAATTACACCCGACCTTTTCTCCAGCAGCAGGAGACTACAGACGTAAAGTAGAGGAGCAAAGGATTCTAGGTTGAAATATCTCTGAATCATCCCTTTAAACCAGGACAGTTTGGTGGTGTTTGGTGTAAACTGGGACATTTCAGCGCCAGAGGAACTTTTGGTCACATTTCATGCGAGAAACGCAGCTGAGATGAAGGTTCAGACTGACTGATGCTCGCTGTGGCTGTAGCCGTGAATGTTTTAATCTAAATATGCAGAGAACCTGATATTTGATAATTCACCCTGTAATAACGTGACGTCTGATGTTGCCAAATGGCTCCACTCTGTTTCTAAGATACAGGTGCAGGTTCCTGTTCAGAGGAGGAGTTTCTACACAATATCACACAGCAGCGTTCGGTTCTTGAATTCAATGTGGCAAGACAAGACATTTTTACAATCAATTTGAATGAACCACTTGTTCTGTTGTAGCTCCTTGTTGTGTCATGACTCTGTTTTTACTCTGATACAAACTTAAACATGCACAGACTTGATGTTGATCGATGTTTCTTCTGCTCATTAAATAAAGTCTGTGAAGTGATGACGTATTTTTGACAGTAAAATCTCATCCGTGAATTCGTATTCGTACTGATGAAAGCGTAATCGTAAACTTTCATTTCGTGATTGTAATTCTTGACGTCGTAACTTTTCAATTCATATTCTGATGGATAAAATACACACAATATATTTTATGTACGACTGGACTCATTACAAATATTTATTTTATGTGCAACTACAGCCAAATATGCACAGATTTCTATTTTATGCACACAAATATTTTTGAAAGCTTTTTTACTCCATAGAAAACTTTTTTTTTGAAAACGATGCTCTGTGCATGACGTTATTTTGGAAAATGAAGAGAGGGAAATATTAGTTTCTCAACAATTAAACTAATGTTATGGTGTTAGAGACGTCGAACATTCAAACTGAACAACTCTATGTCTATGCAATATTTACATCATTTTTTAAAATTTGAATTGTAGAATGAGTCTGAGTGAACAAGGTGTGGTCATTGTTTCCTTTAAGTTTTCGTCTTTCTTAAGCCGGACGTACACTGGGCGATATTTTTGATGGTTTCACTCAAACAGTTTGACCAAATCACAGAGTTTAAAAGTTCACAGCTCACGATTCATGAAACCCTCACGAGAGGCGAACGGATTTTAAACAGATTAGATTTTTTTTGCGACGTGTGATTGTCGATCGGGAGCTGATTGTGACGTATCAGTTCTCAAAAACAGTCACACGAGGAAAAACGGCTCAAAAAAAGGACAAAAATCGCAGAGTGTACGCCCGACTTTACCTTTATAATTGTGGATAAATGGGTCATGGAAGAATGTTTATCCTTTGTGGAGATTATTGGTTAAAGATTTGATGATGGGGCAGATTACGACAGAATACGACACACATTTACACAGAAAAACATTAACCTGAAGTTCCACAAACCTACAGCACTGGACTTCCTGTCATGGTGAAAAAGGTCGTTTCACCACAGTTCTTATTCTGTTAGTGTCGTGTTGCTAAAATCATCCGTTTTTGTTTCGTGGACGTCGTTCACTCCCGACTGTCGCCTGCAGAGGGCGCAGACACCAATCCAAAGTCTAAGCGCTGCAGACGAGAGCTTCTTCCAAACACGAGTAAATTTGCGAGATAAACCGTGAAACATCTTTGCTTAGTTTTCCAAACGTCTGTCGAAAATCCAGAGTTCGGCGCGCGTTTAGGACGAGGACGTGATGTTGGCGGACGCGCTTTCCTTCGGCGAGTACTCCCCGTCGTCTTTGTTGGGGTGGGAGGAGTTGTCCGACTTGCTCCGGCTGAACTCGGCGATGGGTCCGGACTGGAAGCGGGGCCTGATCCACGACGTGCAGCAGAGGAGCGTCTTGAGGAACGCGCGCCGCATCTCGTTGCTCGTCAGCGTGTAGATCAGCGGGTTCATCGCCGAGTTCAGCACGGCCAGCGCCAGAAACCACTCCGCCTTGTAGAGGATCGGGCAGGTGAGCGTCTCGCAGGCGACGTCGAGCAGGAGCAGGATGAACAGCGGGGCCCAGCAGGCGATGAACCCGCTCAGAACGATGATCACGGTCTTCAGGAGCGCCATGGACTTTTCCGAGCTTTTGCTGTTGGTGCTGGTGCTTCCCCTCGCGCCGTTGGTGACCTTCCGGAAGACGAGTTTGCGGCTCCGCGTGCGCACCAGGGCGTAGATTCGGGCGTAGAGGACGACGATCGCCATGAGGATGATGCTAAAAACCGTCGTGCAGAACAAGATGTAGGTTTTGTGGTAGAGCGGCAGGACGGTGGAGCAGTTTTCCATGCTCTCGATGCAGTTCCAGCCCATGATCGGAAGCCCGCCGAGCATCGCCGCGATCATCCACACCGTGCTGATCAGGAGGAACACCCTGAACGTGTTTCCGTTGTTGTGCAGCTTCATCTTCAGCATCGTCAGGTGCCGTTCAATCGCGATCGCCAATAGACTAAAAACGGACGCCGCCAACGCTACGAACATGCTCCCCTCGCGGAAGAACCACTGCGTCGGCGTGAGCTTGTAGGTGTTGGCGCCGGAGAGCAGGATGTTGGCGGTGTAGACGACGCCGGCGAGCAGATCGGACAGCGCCAGGTTACCGATGAAGTAGTACATGGGCTTGTGGAATTTCTTCGTTCGCCAGATCGTGATGAGGACCAGGAGGTTCTCGAGGAAGATGAAGCAGCAGACGATGATGAAGACCACGGAGTCCGCCTTCAGACCCGAGTCCGCCTGCGTCTTGCGGAACTTGCCGGTGTAGTTGTAGTGCGAGGCGATGAGGTCGGCCATTTCGGAGAGAGAGGCGGGCGCGGTTTCCGGGGAAAAAAAACTGCACGTTAAAACAGGTATTCCATAGATCCGAGAGGGAAAGACGACGCTACATCGCTTAGGAAGGCGTTTTGTCGATCGTAAATCCCCTAAGACTGGACGAAAAACTAAAATCCAGTTGATTAAAAGTTTAAATTATTTCGTGAGAATAACACAATCCACTTAAAAAAAACACGTCCATTGATTTAAAAAACAAACAAACGTGAAATTCAAAATTGTCCAAAGTGTTAATCCAAAGTCAGGAGATTCTAAAAAATATTTCAAAATGTAAATTGCGATTTTTTTTTGCAAGTTTTCAGTCGACAAATCTACAAAAATCCCTCAAGAATGTGAATTCCAAGTATTTTAAAATGTAAATTGCAGGAAAATTATTTATATATTTTGCCAGTTTTCAGTCGTCAAATCCACAAAATTTGACTTCTTATTGTGTCCAAAAATTTCACCGACAAAATGTGAATTCCAAGTGTTTTAAAATGTAAATTGCAGAAAAATTATTAATACTTTTTGCAAGTTTTCAGTCGTCAGATCCACAAACGTTGACGCCTTATTGTGTCCACAAATTTCCCTCCAAAAATGTGAATTCCAAATATTTTAAAATGTAAATTACGTGGAAATAATTTATATTGTTTGGAAGTTTTCAGTCGTCAAATCCACAAACGTTTCTCCTTACTGTGTCCACAAATTTCACCCAAAAAATTCCCCAAAATTCTCCTCGAATTTGCAGAAAAACGTGAGTAAAAGTTGTAAAATTAGATCCAGGTTTGTTGTGTCACTGCAGCGTCGTCGCGGTTAAATCCTCCTGGTTAAATGTCGCGGTGGAAAGTGGAGCCATGTCGTGCAGTGATGCTCACGTCCAGCAGATCCAGCAGAGGGCGCTGTCCACCAGGGCTCCAGACAGAGAGAGGGAGGGAGGGCGAGCGAGAGGGCGAGCGAGCAGAGGTCAGCTTCTGAAAAGAGAGAGAGAGAGAGAGAGAGAGAGAGAGAGAGAGAGAGAGAGAGAGAGAGAGAGAGAGGATTATCAGGTTACTTCAAGATTAAAGTTCAACATGAAACTTTAACTCAAACAATTCACAATGATGTACTAATACTACTACTACTACTACTACTACTACTACTATTACTACTAATACTACTACTACTACTACTACTACTACTACTACTACTACTACTAATACTACTACTACTACTACTACTACTACTAACTACTACTACTACTACTACTACTAATACTACTAACTACTACTACTACTACTAATACTACTACTACTACTACTGACTGCAGTCTCTTGATATTTTTGCTACTAGAATTTATTTGACCTTTTTTTTCTCTTTGTTGTTTGTTGTTATATTTTTTGATGTGTGAGTGACTGTGTACTTTTACTACTACTACTACTGCTGATACTACTGATACTACTGCTGCGACTACTACTACTGATACTACTACTGCTGATACTAATCAAATCAAATCAAATCAAAACTTTATTTATAAAGCACTTTTCATACAAAATGCAACACAAAGTGCTTTACAGTGATTAAAAACAGTCCCGCATTTCCAACCACCCAAACACCCACCCACCAACCCAACCCCCGCACCCCCCAACCCCACATAGTCAAACAACCCAAACACACACAACACACACATACACACAAACATGCACACACACACACACACACACACACACTCACACGCTAAAATACATAACCGGACACAATAAAATGTGAGGCTGAATACAGGCGAATCAGTTGAGAAAAGCACCATCAGAGGAGCCGTCTGCACCGGGAGCAGAGAGACGTCCACCACCACCAGGAACCACCACAGGAGCAGAGAGACGTCCACCTCCACCAGGAACCACCACAGGGTCCAGGGGAGAGATGAAGCCCAGGCACCTGAGGCCCAAGCACCATCCCTCCACCAGGAGCCCACATGACAGACCCAGCAGCCACAGCTGACCTCCACTCCTGATGCAGAGGCTCCTACAGAGGAAACACTGGAAATCCTAAAAAATATGCCTAAGATAAATAAATATAATAAAATGTGTACAATAAAAACAAGTAAAAGTGTAAGATTTCAATCAAAAGCTAAGCTAAAAAGGTGGGTCTTGAGCTGCTCTTAAAAACATGAACGTTCTCTGCAGCCCTGAGCTCCTCCGGCTGCAGGTCCATAGACGAGGGCCATAGTGCTGAAAAGACGCCTCCTCTCCGTGAGTGTGTGTCCTGACTACTGCTGATACTACTACTACTGATACTACTACTACTACTGATACTACTACTACTACTACTACTGCTGCTGCCATCGTTACCTCTACTACAATTATTATTACTATTATTACTATTACTACAACTATTACTGCTACAGCTCTTGTTGTTGTTTGTGTAGTTTTTAGTTTTTTCGTGTCACATCCTGTAGTTTTATTTTCGTCGTGATGTGACGTGTGTTTGTGGTTTTGTGTGTGTGTGTGTGTGTGTGTGTGTGTGTCTGTGTCTGTGTGTGTGTCTGTGTGTGTGTGTGTGTTTGTGGTTTTGTGTCTGTGTGTGTGTGTGTGTGTGTGTGTGTGGTTTTGTGTGTGCGCGTGTGTGTCTGTGTGTGCGCGAGTGTGTGTGTGTGTGTTGTCGTTGTGTGCGTGACCTGGTTTATAAGTAATGACCTGTTTAAGTCCATAAATAAAGTGAGAAGAACAACAACAAAAACAACAAAAATAACATGGAGGAGGTTCCTGGTTCAACTCCAGACTGAGTTTATTTAGACGAGTTTATCTGTGAGTTTATTTACACGAGTTTATTTAGATGAGTTTATTAGTGAGTTTATTTACACGAGTTTATTTATGAGTTTATTTAGACGAGTTTATCTGTGTGTTTATTTACACGAATTTATTTAGACGAGTTTATTTCGATGAGTTTATTTAGACGAGTTTATCTGTGAGTTTATTTAGACGAGTTTATTTACACGAGTTTATTTGAGTTTATTTAGACGAGTTTATTTGTGAGTTTATTTGTGAGTTTATTTACACGAGTTTATTTGTGAGTTTATTTACACGAGTTTATTTAGACGAGTTTATTTGTGAGTTTATTTAGACGAGTTTATTTACACGAGTTTATCTGTGAGTTTATTTACACGAGTTTATTTAGAGGAGTTTATTTGTGAGTTTATTTACACGAGTTTATTTGTGAGTTTATTTACACGAGTTTATTTAGAGGAGTTTATTTGTGAGTTTATTTACACGAGTTTATTTGTGAGTTTATTTACACGAGTTTATTTAGACGAGTTTATTTGTGAGTTTATTTACACGAGTTTATTTACACGAGTTTATCTGTGAGTTTATTTACACGAGTTTATTTAGAGGAGTTTATTTGTGAGTTTATTTACACGAGTTTATTTGTGAGTTTATTTCGATGAGTTTATTTAGACGAGTTTATCTGCGAGTTTATTTAGACGAGTTTATTTGTGAGTTTATTTAGACGAGTTTATCTGTGTGTTTATTTAGACGAATTTATTTAGACGAGTTTATTTCGATGAGTTTATTTAGACGAGTTTATCTGTGAGTTTATTTAGACAAGTTTATCTGTGAGTTTATTTAGACGAGTTTATCTGTGAGTTTATTTAGACGAGTTTATTTGTGAGTTTATTTAGACGAGTTTATCTGTGAGTTTATTTAGACGAGTTTATTTGTGAGTTTATTTACACGAGTTTATCTGTGAGTTTATTTACACGAGTTTATTTAGACGAGTTTATTTACACGAGTTTATTTGTGAGTTTATTTACACGAGTTTATTTGTGAGTTTATTTACACGAGTTTATTTAGACGAGTTTATTTACACGAGTTTATTTGTGAGTTTATTTACACGAGTTTATTTGTGAGTTTATTTACACGAGTTTATTTACGTGAGTTTATTTACACGAGTTTATCTGTGAGTTTATTTACACGAGTTTATTTACACGAGTTTATTTGTGAGTTTACTTACACGGTTTATTTGTGAGTTTATTTACACGAGTTTATCTGTGAGTTTATTTACATGAGTTTATTTAGACGAGTTTATTTGTGAGTTTATTTACACGAGTTTATTTAGACGAGTTTATTTGTGAGTTTATTTACACGAGTTTAGCTGTGAGTTTATTTAGACGAGTTTATCTGTGAGTTTATTTAGACGAGTTTATTTACACGAGTTTATTTGTGAGTTTATTTACATGAGTTTATTTACACGAGTTTATTTAGACGAGTTTATTTGTGAGTTTATTTACACGAGTTTATTTGTGAGTTTATTTACACGAGTTTATTTGTGAGTTTATTTACATGAGTTTATTTACACGAGTTTATCTGTGAGTTTATTTACATGAGTTTATTTACACGAGTTTATTTAGACGAGTTTATTTGTGAGTTTATTTAGACGAGTTTATTTGAGTTTATTTACACGAGTTTATCTGTGAGTTTATTTACATGAGTTTTATTTACACGAGTTTATTTAGACGAGTTTATTTGTGAGTTTATTTACACGAGTTTATTTAGAGACGAGTTTATTTGTGAGTTTATTTAGACGAGTTTATCTGTGAGTTTATTTACATGAGTTTATTTACACGAGTTTATTTGTGAGTTTATTTACACGAGTTTATTTGTGAGTTTATTTACATGAGTTTTATTTAGACAAGTTTATTTGTGAGTTTATTTAGACGAGTTTATCTGTGAGTTTATTTAGACGAGTTTATTTGTGAGTTTATTTACACGAGTTTATCTGTGAGTTTATTTAGACGAGTTTATTTGTGAGTTTATTTACACGAGTTTATCTGTGAGTTTATTTACACGAGTTTATTTAGACGAGTTTATTTACACGAGTTTATTTGTGAGTTTATTTACACGAGTTTATTTGTGAGTTTATTTGAGTTTATTTGAGTTTATTTAGACAAGTTTATTTGTATTTGTGAGTTTATTTGTGAGTTTACGAGACGAGGATCAGAGTTTAATCAAATTTAACACAGAAGTTTAACAGAAAAAACAGAGAGAGAGAAAGAGAAGGAGGGAGGGAAAGAGAGAGAGAAAGAAAGAAAGAAAAGGGGAAAGGAGAGGGAAAGAGAGAGACGAAAGGGAGAGAGAGGACAGAGAGAAAAAGAA